CTCCCTCTCTCCGGCGACTCCTTTTTTTCCCTTCTGCCCCGTCTTCTTCTCATTCTCCTCCGTCGCCGTCCCCCGGTTCCTCGCGATGTTCCGAGTCTGATCCTCTTTCTCTCGCTCGGCGCGAGTCCGCGTCGCGACAGGTTCGCCGGCCAGCGGCTCGTTAGACCGGCAGCTTCGCGCGGATGCAGATTTTCCGGAGGTTCGTCGGGGAAATTCCGCTGGGCAGTCGGTTTTCCGGGAACCGCGCCGCGTCCGCCGGTCAGCGGATCCTCCCGGTTTTCGCCGTTCGCGGAATCTTTCGCGCGGACGGCCGAAAGCTGATTCGGCGTGGGTCTGGGCGGATCCGGACGGAATCTGGGCTGGCGATCGGCGGAAGTTTCGCGGCGGATTTCGGCGGAATCGCTCGTTATCGGGGAAACTCGCGCGGCTGAACGGCAGCGATGCTTTGGGATTCTGTACGGTTGATCTTGATTTCTTTTTTAATCGCCGAATGGGTTCGGACTGTAGAGAATGGGGATTCTTGGGAGTTCGGGAATGACTCGGTTCGGAGATTCGGAAGTTCGAACTGCCGAAAGCGATTCGAAGGGGCGAGAGGCGACGAGCGAGAGAGGGACTAGTTTCCGAGAAACGTAGCACGACGGAGTGAACGATTCGCGAAATCTAAGCAGAAAATATAGAATAACATTTTCTCTCCGCTTCGAAACGATCGTGTTCGAAACACTGAGAACGAACCAATACGTCTGTCCACGACACGCCATTTCTACTAAAGAATATTCTACGTTTTTTACTTATTTTTCCATGCGCGTTTCACTCGTACAATTTCAGGGACACAGGGTGAATCGTTGAACCGCAAAATCTCCTCGCGAACTGTTCGTGATACACGAAAAATGGTATTCGAGACATCAGTCGTACGGCTGCGATCGAAAGTAGTCGATCGGTTGGACAGCAAATAATTTAAGCGGTTCCCGCGCGACGAACAGTTCGCGAGGGAATTTCGGCACAGTCGGGTGACCCACCCTGTACATGCATTTATTGATCGAGTCTAGGTTCGCTGCAAAACAGAAATTGAGCCGCGGACGAGAGGATACGCAACCGTGGAGCAGAAACCGGCGACCTCGGTCGAACCGTTTCGACCGGCGTTCAAAATAACTCGAAAGCTATCGAGTCAAGGTTGAACCGGATCCATTTAAACGCTCCCGATACACACGTACAAAAAAGCGTGCGTGCGAGCGAGCGCGAGCGCGCGCGGTGCCGATCGGCGACCGAAAACGTTTAAAAGCGTCGACCACGAAAACCGCTCGGGGATTTCTGCGAACGTCTCGCCGGGACGGTCGTGCGTGTGTGGCCCGGTGGCAGCGCGCGGCGAGTTAAGCCGCGTTCCCATGTGTGCGACGCGCGGCGCGAAATTCTCTTACGGAACGATTTATCGGTTCCCCGATCCCTCCCCGGTGTCCCGGGATCCCGGGACGAGCGTCGTCTCGGAATCGTTCGGGGATGCGTTATTAAAATTAACAAACTTGTTGCTGGAAACGAGGGAGGACTTTGTAAAATACGGGCACTCGCGTTCGATGGCGTCGTTACTTACGCTGCACGGTTGTTTTGCAAAAATAACGGGTCATTACGCGGAGGACTTGTTTTATAGGGATTTTATAGGTCGTTCCGCGGAGACTTGTTTCGCGAAAGTAAGGGCTATTTGCATGGGGACTCGTTCGGCGTAAGTAAGAGATGATTACACGGAGACAAATCGTACCGCACGAGAGGTTTTATGAAAAGAGAGATTTACGAAGGGAGTGTTTCGGATACCGGGAGGGTTAATCGGGAAATCGTGTATACTCGGCTGTGAACACGCCTTTGACCAATTTTTAGTCATTACAGCGTGTCGTTTCTTTTATTCGTTCTCGGACCCCTCCTTTTTATCGTGGAGTTTTATCTGTCCGTTAATCTGTCCTCAATTGCCGAAATATCGGGTTTCCGTTTATATTGCCGGTTAATTAATTTTTGCGGCCGGCGCGGATCGGATCGGATCGGATCGGATCGAATGGTTTTTGATCATCGGCAGTTACTTATCGGGTTCGCCGGCTCGTTAATTGGCTGTCGTGAGCGCTAATTAACGGCTGAATTACACGGTTAACAGGTTAACGGCGAAGAAGAGAGGTTCACGGGGGCCCGCCGATAACGCGCGTGGGAACGGGGCTTAAGGAAACACGAACGGATGTTGCACAGACTGACGGAAGAATTTCCTGTCTCTAACCCCTTTGCGATTGTAATATAGCTCCGTGTATCGATTACGACGACAGGAATTGTTTCTTCTCATCTTCCTTTTTTGTTTCTCTTTTCTTTTTCGTATAGGATCTTTCTACCTACGTATACATAGGGTTGAATAAATGATTGGATACCAATGAACAGTTCTCTTTATTCAGTCACATCTCGGTACACTTAAGAACCTTACACAATCGTTACGCGCACGTCCTCCTCGGTATTCGAATTGAATAAAAAATAAAAAACAGTTGAATACAGGCTAATTATTATTCTTCATTCACCGTCGGAATTTACTGCGAGGTATTTACATGAACATTCGAGTAACGCTTATTAGTATACAGTCCTGGGAGCGAAGCTTAACGATAAGACGGGCATAATTGTCGGATAAACCGAGAACCGCTGGCTTAGTACAAAGTGGAGGCTATAAAATATTTTATTGATGCCGAACAGTGTATTACATTAAGGAACAAGTGTTATCGTGTTCCTCTCTTTAAACCAGATACGCTCGGACACCGTTCATTTTGTTATTCTCTCGAAATAACGTCCGCGCTTTACAGCCTCCAGTCCGCGAATAACAGCCGTCGATTAATATTATTCGCGTTACGCTCGACCGTAATAAAAGTACAATCAGCTTAGAATCATCCTTCTGCAAACACGATAAGCGTATCTGGATTAGTCATCGCCTCGACTTCCACGCCAGCGTTTAACGACGCATCGTTGACCTCGCCGACTATCGTTCGAAAAATTCGACTCTGTAATTACCTATCCGTCGAACTCTACGGTAGGAACTCGATCGTTCACAGCGGCGGGCGGAATTCGAAACCATCAGGATCATCAGCTCGCAAAGTTTCCGCCGCGCTCGATCGCGAAGGGCTCGACCGATTCCCAAGCGCGAAGCGACCTTTGAGATCTCCGCGCGGTTGAGCACCGCTGCGTCGCTTATCGTCACACGAGAACAAGTCCGCGCCGCGCTCGAGTTTCTCGCGTGTAAGTTACGTCGAGGTTCGTCCAGTTATCGACGAGCGTAACGTTTCACGACCAAGCACCGGCGTCTCCCTAAAGCTACGTGCACAATTGCAATATTTATAAAAATACAACGCTCTTTCCGTCGGAGCGTCGCTCGCTCGCGCGCTCGTTTCCCGGATAACCAGTGATTTACCCTTTCGACAAACTTACTCGCGTGTTTTATACATATCTCTTTTTTATTTACACGTGTAGAACATCGATCGTTGTTCCGGCCGGCAAGGGGAAACGACGCAGAACCTTCTCGCTCGTCGATTTCTCGCGAATAATTGCGGATACACGCGGCCGAGAATCCGCGCGCCTTTGATTTCACGCCTCGTTACCGCCGCTCGAATTATTCCACGTTGCTGGATTAATGGCGTTTCCTTTCCGCGATTCTTGTCTCGGACGCTCGCCTCGTCTCATTGGCAATAGGAAAATGCTCCGCGAAGTTTTCCTTAACCGCGCCGTGACTTGGAGTCTGAATTTCAATTTACCAAGGTTCGTTTGATTCGGGATTAATAGAACGATTAGTCTCTCGAGGAAACTTCTTATTCTGATTTCACACTGTATATACTTATTCCTTCAGTGACGCAATTGTCCTTATTGTGTCAGCGATACGATGACAATTCCAAGGAACTCGTAGCACGTAATCGTTCTATCGTCTACACTTTTCTACCAATCGAATGTTTCGCAATGATAGTTACTCTAGCAGACTCAGAACAAACGTCTCCTCCCCTTTTTTACATCTCTCCTCTACACTCTCATTAATACCATCGAGCCCGTCAGCGACGAGAGGATCAAGAAAAACACATCAGAGTGCAACCAGGACTCTCGCAGGATCACAAGCGACCGAATTGCTCAGACGAATTAAGAGACAAGCGATTATATTTCTAACGTAAGATCGTCATGACACCAACGCCAGCGTTAACGTCGTTAATAACGTAGCCTTTATTACAGAATATATTGAGAGAGAAAAAAAGTAGAAAGAGCTTCGAGTTGGCGGAACAAGAGGTCCGGATTAGAGTCGAAGGCGATCTCGGGGAATTTCCTGGACGATCGGATCTCGCACCTTCGACCGGCCGTCTATTTTAAGCGGGGCCGATTCGGCCGCTATCCGATTAATTAATACGCGGGGCCTTATGCAAGCTTGATGTTCGGGTGACTCAAAGGAATTTCCCCGGGACGCGTTCGCTCTCTCGCGGTGAAAACCGGCGGGAGAAACGGACGAGACCGAACCGAGCGCGCAACCGGTTCGGGCGCGAGCGCGCATCTCGTGGATTTTATTAACAGTACAAATAACAGTCGACGACGAGCCTGCAGAACTGTCTCCAGAAGAAACCGCGAGATTGGCCTGTAAATGACGCTTAGACGGCACGGTAGACGCGAGAAATAAAACACTTTTACGAACACCCGCAGCCTCCTCTCTTTGCGAGACGTCGCAACCTGCCCGCCGGGACGTTTTTAGAACCCGTTGATACAGTTCCTCTGTGCACGCTCCATTGACTCGTAATGCCCCTATTTAGTTTCTTTTATGATCAGTCACCTCTCCCGGCAAGACCAATCCCGCATTCACGGCCCCCGACCGGCCGCGCACCGTCTACGCCTATGCGTGCGCCGCTCTCTCCTCCCTCGTTTCCTCTCGATGCTCCTTTTTACCACGAACGCTTTTGTTGTGCGTTAAAAAGGACATTAGCTTGTTAACTGTCTCCGACGGTGAAAAGCGAGAGCAGATATCAATACGATAAATCAAGATGGCTCGTGAATGACGAGCTTTGTTCTCGAACGTTAATGGATACACGTTAGGGTTGAGTTTTGAGAATTAACCCTTTGCTGAGGAAGATTCTTGTAGACTGATGAAGAGTACATATCGATTGCCTGATTAACATGTTCGTTAGCGTCATTGTGACGGCCGTAATCCTGTATTTTAATGAAAATGGAATTAATTCTGTAGATATTGTGATTGGAAATGATAAACTACGAGGTTTAATGTTTTGTTTCGATTTATTGAATCGAAGAAAAGATAATTGAGGTGTTAACACGTTCCAGTGTTTGTTTCAGTGGCGACCCTCTCAATTGTATTTCATTCAATTCAATAAATCGAAACAAACTATTGAAGCAAACGAAGCTAAAGCGAGTCGAATCCCTAAATGTAATATTCAGAGACGCAATGATTTCAAAAATATTATAATATTAAGCCTTTGCACTCGAAAGTTTTTCACTGGAAATATTTAACATTTTCCGACGAGATACAGACGACACTGTTTCAAACTAATTTAACGATCGTTCACAGATAAATCAAGCGACAAAGTAATTTTATTTAAGTATTTCCTATAGCAATAGTTTCATTGAAAATACTAAATATTCAATTTTATAGTTTTGCTGTCAAATCAAGTGATGAGTCACCTATCGAGTGCAAAGAGTTAACATTATCTAACTAGACAAAGACGATTTGTTGAAATGAACTCAGTCACAAGTAAATGAAACAAAGCTTTCTTATTCCAATATTTACCGATGCGTTATATACAGCTCAATATTAAACATCAAACTTTATAGTTTTACTGCGTCAAATCAAATGATAAAGTCACCTCTCGAGTGCAAAGGTTAACTTCGTTTCCATTATACAAAATATACAATTACGACGCTCGTAGCGAACGTGTTAATCTTTCTGCTTAGATTTGACGCGTTCCGTAAACCTAGTGTTAACACATTGCGTACCGGTAACGAGAAATCTCGTTTTTATATAAAGACACTTAGCTATAACTTCGCTAATTACAGCATTGAAAAAATATAAAATTTAATTCGAATTGATTATCTATTTAAAATATATTACATAACAATATATCTGAGTTTTTCTATGTATAGCAATATAAGTTGACCTCAGTGAACAATTGCCACACGCAAAATTCAGTTTTCTAAGTAACGAGAAATCTCGTTTTTATATAAAGACACTTAGCTATAACTTCGCCAATTACAGCACTGAAGAAAATATAAAATTTAATTCGGATTATCTATTTAAAATATATTACATAACAATATATCTGAGTTTTTCTATGTATAGCAATATAAGTTGACCTCAGTGCAAAATTGCCATCCGCGCAACTCAGTTTTCCGAAAATTAGCCGGTGCGCAACGTGTCAACAGCAGCGTGCGTGAAACAATCGTCTAAATATTCGAGCGCATCGCGGTGCACCGGAGACGTCTCCGATGATCACAGAAACACAGAACCATTGAGAAATATGGTCAAGTACGATCGAGGAGTTAACTCGACGCCCCCGAGTTAACAGGCGAAGATGAACGTAATGGAACGTAATGCCGGCGATTGTGGACGTCGAGTTTTTCAGCAGCCATCGCGCCGGTGTCTCGTGACCGGGGAGGAGGCTCCAGCGCGACCGCAATGAAAGAATGCGTGAGCGCGCGACCGCAAACGGCTACTTTTCGACGCGCAACGGGGACCACCGCCATTGGAATCGAGCAAAGAGGCGAATAATTGCGTTACCCCGTTCCTCCTCCTCCTCCTCCCCCTCCCCCTTTTTCCTCTCTTTTTTCTTCTTTCAGTTGGCACCGCCACGCGACCCCAACGTAACGCCATTATCCCATTAGCCCGCGACATTATCGTGCGACAACGGCCGCTCTCCTTCGGAGAGAAACGATACACACACGGCCGCCGACGTGTGTATCGGGGTCGCGCGACCAACAACAGGGCGCCGGTTTAATTTTATTTGCCCGCTCGAACGGGAGGAACGATGCTGAAAATTCAATCTCGTACGCTCGCCCGGCGATGCTTGTTAATCGCTTTACGACACGCCGAATCGCGCGCTGTTCTCCGAAATGGCGGAACGGCTACGTTTTTGCTTCGCGGATGTGGTCTTTTGGAAATTCGATTATTGCGACGTCATCGAGCGTCGAGCATTCCAGGCGTTATAATAATTTGGTTCGTTTAGAAGTTTTACGCGTTTCTGACCTTTGCTCGTTTGGATGTCTCTGATAGTTCCCTTAACCCTTTGCAGTCGGGAGATGACTCTCAGTCAATTGTTTTGATACAGTGAAATTATAAAGTTTCATGTTTAACACTAAACTTTGTGTAACGCGTCACTATGTGAAATATCAAAGTAAAATAGTTTTAATTTATCGATTAAATTATTTACATTAGTCACGACAAGCATCGTCTATATTTTATAGAAGAGTGTTGAATATTTCTAGTGAAGAACTTTCGAGGGCAAAGGGTTAACCCTTAGCAGTCCTATGTCGAGTCAGACTCGACATTCTATTTTATTGCAAATTTTTTCTATATTTATTTGTAGTATCACATTTGTACCATTTAAAGGTAGCATTTCAATGACTCCCAAATATTCTTGAATAAATAAATAGAGCGTCATATTAAGCTGTAATTGAAACAATGTAATATGCGCAATGCAACAAGATTGTCAATGTGTAAGACATCGTTGACTATTTTGAAACGGAAACGTCTCGACGTTTGAAATTGTGGAATTTGTGAAATTTGCAGGACACTTTATAAATTGTCGACGAGACGAACTGTTGGAATAATAATGAAGCAGTTCTTAGTTGTTGAGGTTCCACATTGATAACGAGACGGTTGGCAGAGTCGGTTGAACCCGTTAATCGAGTGGTTCAACACATTAATAAATAATCACGGCTCGTCGTGACTTAATATGGCAATAAGGGTATCCATGGTGCAATCGACCTCTTGACGTACAATTATCTTCGTGATTATGCTCGTCCAACAAATTTTACTATCAATCATTCGCAAGTAAACAAACAAATTTCCTAGTCATTGTAAACGACAGTTTATTCTGAAGATAGAACCATTGAGCAAAGTCATTTGTCACTTCTACTTATGTGTAACAAATAACATGGGCTCTTCATAAATTGTTCTTTCCGTAAAGAAAAGGCTCGCGTGAAAAAAGTCCGCGTAAATCGAGGGTTAGGCGTAATGCATCAATTTTGGAAATATTGAAACAAAATAGCTTTGTTCCTCGATGTTCCTTCGAGTTCACAAAATATCGTCTTTACCTCATCATCAAATTCTCAAATATTTCCAATGAAAAACTGCAGAGTGCAAAAGGTTAACGTTCAACTTTTCCTAATGCCTCGATACATGAAAAGTTTCAATAAAACAGCATTGCTCTTCAATGTATCTGTAATTTCCCTTCGAGTTCACAAAATATCGTCTTCACCTCATCATTAAACGTTCAAACATTTCCAGTGAAAAACTTTCGAGTGCAAAGGGTTAAGTTTCAACAGTCGGGCAACTTACACGTGTGGCATACGACGAATTAACTCGTTCCTTCCTCGGTCAGTTCGCATCGCTGATACGTTCAGGTCTAGGACGTTCCGGTTCGTTACGTCGACGTAAGGCAGCAGGGCACAGTCATATGAATTGCGCTCCAACAGGTGCCGGGTATCGAGTTCACCAGAGCACCTGATGAAGTACAATTAACATGCAGCCTCCACAGTTGTTCCCCTCGCATCTCAGGTGTTGTCTCCGGGTGTTCCTCCGACGATCTCGTTGGGAGCCTCGCGATTGGCCGCGCCGGGACCAGAATTCGTGGCGTGGAAAAATGATGTACCGGTTTCGCCGCAGTGCGCGCTACTTCAGGTACCTGACTGACTCGAAATTGGCACAGCCTGAAGTACCCGAGTAACGCGTGTCGCAAACGACACATAGTCACGTTGCTCGCATCCATCCACGGTCCGGCGCCAGCTCCTCGCGAAGTTAGCCGTCTTCCTCGTTCCGTCGTGACGAGGAAACGGTTTCGTCGTCTGTTCACTCGATTGCATCACGTTACGGAGAAACATTCCATCGTCGTCGCAGCGTTTCGCTTTGATTACATTTCAATGATTAACACTAGAACTACCAAGCAGGCTGACTTCTCAAAATTTTTCTGTAGAAACCTCGAGAGTATCTATCGAGATTTCGATCGATCAAAACTGTTGCTGAAAGAATTTCTTTAACACTAGGTTTACTAGGATTTTCATTTAGATTTTGGAAATTGTAGATGTAGAAATAGACAATAAGGATTCACATTCGTGTAATTGGGTCAACGAAAACCGATTGATAAAATTCAATCTGCGTCAAATCGATGCGTTCCGTAAACCTAGTGTTAAAGATGTCTTAGAGAAGTCTATTGTTTATCCACTAATCGTAAAAGAGTTTAGGAACTTTGTCCCATCTGATAGTTCTAGTGTTCACCCGTAGAATACATAGTTCATAATATTCATAACAGTAGGTAGCGAGTATTAATACAATGATTCATTGAGAACACGCTTATCACAAGATACGATTCCTCTTCACGCAATATATAAATAATTAACAGATTAAACGAGCGTTCGATAGTCTCTTATAATTTTCTCCTTCACTTATTTCATACTGAGACAAAATTCAACGATT